TTAAAGAATGAATTGCTCAAATGTGAGGTCTCACCACGAAATGAGACGCATCGTTGGTGAAATCATATTGAGATATTCACCAAAATAGGTCAAAGGCAACATTTTTACAACATTTTGATTTTAATGTTTTTGAATAACTTGATACTTATATTTTATGATTGTGTACTTTTTAAGTGAATTTTCCTACTAAAAACAGTGTTCTCTTCGCATATTCTGTAATTCTAGTCCTATTATTTGTACAGGTTAGTTTATCTTTGAGGCCGATTTTCTCAAAACCTGGTTCTCATACACCTAATCTTTAAATGCGAACATCTCTGGATCTATTTATCCTAGGGAAGCCATTCAAAGACCAAATTAAACCTTATAATGTGGTCTACCAAAATGTAATATTAACTCATTTTTTGATTTTCTAACGATGAGACTCATTTTGTAGTGAGACCTCACAAATATGACAGGATAAATACAATACTCCAAAGATAAAGGTTAAACCATACATTATCCTAATTTGCACTGGACATGCTCAATTTAGATAAGGTGTTGTAACCTGGGTAATCAATTCATCATAAGTTAATGATGTATTGGCTGATCACTTTATCAGCTACACGTGTAAGCTATCATAGACTGTTAAATAAAATCAAATTTAGATTATTATCAACTACAGGTCAGTTAAAGAGTGGTGAAGTGTGATTTTTGGGGCAACACGGAAATTTTATAGCAACAAGAAGGGGCACAAAGAGACTACAAACATGAACATAAAAAAAACAGGGATAAGTGAAGAAGGGATAGAGGAAGAACAGAAATTTCCTAATTCCACAAATTACTGAGCCTCATGAGTTTTGTTAAGGATGCAACAAAATGGGCAGAAATACCAATTACAAACTATTGTCCTCGCGAATTTATGGATACATATATTCATTTCTAAAGGTATACACACAGTATTAGACTGTCAGCCAACGAATCCAATCTCTGTAAGCGCTTGACTACACAACACTACGGTAGGACGTAGAACGTAATGACGTCACTAAAATTTATCTGCGCATGTGAGAACGTTAAGTTCTCCTCGTTGTGTGGATTCTGGGATGCAATTTTTTCAAATCTACGCATGCAGAGAACGTACGATGCCTGGTTAGACAGTCAGATAAGTGATTCCATTCTAGCGTCGCTGAACAAATCAAAACTACTAAATTACTGGCAGACTGCCACTCAAATTGATCCTTCGCTTCCATTTTCGTGTTGTTCTCTGAAAACATGGCAGAATGTGTGCCCGGCTTAATTGCTTTTGCACACAAATTCGTTGACTGATAGTGTATTTGTACTATGTAATCATTAATTGTTTATTATTTTTATGATGTGATGCATTATGTGCTATACAAGTGTAACATTATTATTATCATTGTCATTATTGAATTAATACTATTTAAAAATTTAAGTATTTGTACTACATCATCATTACTGACATTATTAATTTTAGTTATTTGACTTACCTTTCCATGGTGATGGTGGGATGACGGCTGATTGGCAGCATACGACTTTATTTCAGGTAGCATTGCCGTTCGATCCTTAGATCTGTCTTTCTTGTCGTTTACTCCCATGGACCTGTAAAAAAAAAAAAAAAAAAGAAAATCAAAATTATTAATATTTCTATTATTTTATTACTTATTTATTTTTACTCATTCTGCCAAACAAAAAAAACAAGTAATGTACTCACATGTATACAAGAAAAATATACTTGTATACATCATCAAGGGGTTTTGAATCAATGCTGCCAACTAATCATATTAATTAAAAACAAAAATACCACAAGTAATATTAAGCACAATTTCTATGCAATGTGTATTACTTGTGACAAAAGTAAATAAACTGAATACTTAGTTCACAAAATGTCAGCAAATACTCCTTTAAATATTTAAAACTAAAGCACAACCCAACATTCAAAAAGTTCAACAATAAAATAAATTTACAAAAAAAAAAAATAATAAGATATCACACACAATTAAATTTTATTTTTCCTTGTAATTCAAATTAAATATAATCAAATACATACGTTTATTGTTCATTTAACTTGCCAAAATCCAGATTATAAAAAGCTAAGTTAGCATGCAAATGAGCCATCATGATTGAACTACCACCAGAACACTATGCACGAAAGAAACTGAATTACTGTAAAACCTGATGTCTTGCTACGTCAACAGACGTTTTTATCTGCATTTCTTATCAAAGAGTACATAAAGTCTAACACTGTGTAGCTGGGTGAAGAAACAATGCACAACCAACTAAGCTTAATGTAAACACAATTTATGATATCAACACCAAGAGGAAACCGGAGGTCATAGTCATCGACTTATATAGAAATTATTGTTCATTATATTATTCCACATTTGCATTCCACAGCCACCAGTACACAAGAGAATTGCATGAGAGTATATCATTTATTCTTATTATTTTTATTGCCAAACATAAAAAAAAAAAACATTTACACAGCTGGATGGGAGGGACTGAAGCCAAATTAATCAATATGACATAAATGATGTTAATTTTATATTTATTATAGTATTTTATTTTGACAAATTTATGACTATTTTGACAATAATGTATTGCATTTGTAAGAAAATTCACATACCAAATAATATATCATACCAAAATATTGTTAAATACTGTACAGAATACATATAAATTCTATCAACTGGTAACAAGTTTTAAAAATCAAAAAAATTCTATTGTTAATGTTATCCATGATGAAAACAAGAATTTTTAAATGACTGTAGGCTAGAATGGGTACTGAAGTTTTATTAAACTTTTTTTGACATATCATAACGCAACAAAATCTTGAATGATGGATCCTCTTAATCCATCATAAACAACACACATTTTCTTTCATTCAAAGATACAAACAATTTTTCATTTAGAAACTTTATAAAATGTTTCATGAGCTCAGGAATCTCCTACACCTTGTTTGGGGGGAGGGGATTATCCCTAAAACACTGGCATACCTTTACCATACTGTCACCCACTAGATTATAGATAACTTACCCTTCTCCTTTCCTAAAGTTCATTGTTAAGATTGTACACTTGGCTTATCAGAAATGTGGCTGACTTTGGAGTAGGCCTAGGCCTATACTAGGCAAACCATTCAACAGGATTCTCATAAACAAAACATTCCATTCTATGATCTTCATTAACCAACATGGTTCAACCTAAAATCAACAATTATAAAACAGGATCAAATTATTGAACAAAGTACACAATGAAACAATACACATATTTGTATAGTACTAATAATAGGCCCCACCTCTAAAACAGTATTTTATTTCGGTGGTGAAAAGTCCCTGAGTTGAACAATGTACATTAGATAGCTAGGCCCTAGTCTCAACAACAAGCCTCCTAGATCTCTCCAAACTGCTAGCTGACGATCACGATTCTACTCCTCACACGCACAGTTCCAATTTTGCTCTGGCTGAGCCTACCTATGCCTAGCCCAGTACACAAGTCAAGGTATCTATTCGGAAAGTTTGCCCAAAAATTGCAGATAAGTTGATTTAATAAACTATAATTTTCTGTGAAAATACGCCTAGGTCTACCAAAAGCTATAAATACGTAAATCTGTCAAATACCGAGCTATAACTTTCAAAACACCAACAACATCCACACACCACACACGGCAAGTGCTGCCTGTCTAGTCTCTGCACTTAATTATTGCTTATATTTAATCACGTGATAGCAACATTCGACCAATAAAATCACTAGTTGCGTGAGAAAGTGAAGTTGATTTATCGTCGTTTCGTTTTACAGTAATTTCATAAAACATGTTCTTGCATGAGCTTTAAAACTTTTTCTTGTAATTCTCAGTTAATAGATTCGCAAATATTAACAACATGGACAGAGAAGATTTACAATCAACTTCACCTGATTGGTTGAGGGCGGCATGGGAAGCCGATCCAACTTCCAGCCATTGAATCGAATCGACAATATAAAACTGCTAGTATACGCTGGTGGTAATGCTATTGGTCTTTCAACCGTGATACTGGATCACGTGGCTAATTGCCTGTATATAGGCCTAATTAGCGTTTTAGACACTAACTGAATAAATATGGTACAGTGTACAGAGCTTACAAGCATTCCTCTACTTTTATTATTGTTTTCATAATTCCAAAACCAGTTTTATAGCAGGATCGATCTATCTCTCTACTGTTACTTTGTCTAACACGTGGCCAATAGTCTTTCTAGTCATATGTTTTTGCGTTTAAGTACGTCTCCAATGACAATGTCACTCTTTTTCGAATCATTCGATCATATTTAATTGTATCCATGAGACGCTGTATTTGATTCTGCAATAGATTGCCAGTGCATAGGCTATTCATTGAGGCATGTTTGGAACCAAACGACATTCTCCCAGCCTCTCTTAGCATTCATATTCTTGATGAGTCTTTGCTGATTTTCATTTTTTACATAGAACTACAATAAAAAAAAAATAAAAATACAATTTACACTTTTAGAGTCAAGCGTGCTCACTAACGCATTGTATTAGCCTATTTTTACTGGTCTTGTATTATCCTTTCAAATCTAAAAACTGGTTTTTCTCAGAAATTCATTAAAAAATTTCAAACATACGCTGTAGCAGCACCGGGTTGTTTAAGCATCAATCATAGACTATCATTGTAACAGATATTTAGATTCATATCTTTGTTATAGTACGTCGGCCAAATGAATGAGCAACACATACTAGCATAGTCTTGAATTTTAAAAAATCAATTTTTTTAATAGACCACAATATATATTTTGGATTTAGACCTAACCGTTTCGCTAATTATTTATTTATTTATTTATTATTATCATCATCATCATCATCATCATCATCATTATTATTATTATTACTGTTATTATTATTATTTAATAACTTTTTTAGCACAGTTCATCTTTAAAACGCGAAGAACGTGCACCCCACCCGCGCTTAAATCAGTGTATTTGACCACGCCCCTCTTATCTGAAGGGTCGAAGGTCAATATTGTTTACTTGCGACCACACTTCTGTTTCTGTTCCACTTTCTAGGTTAGTGTGTTGCTTAGTCGAAATTTCACATGGAAATTTGCTGGTAGAAGGTTTATATTTTGAATACAAATAACTTACTGCAATATAGCGAACAGTTATGGATCGGTTAGCTTCCATTACTCGGCATTTAAATGCACCGGTTGCATCTGGACCAAGATTCCCTTCGATGAACTCCGAGGCTGTGGGCAGACAGGTGTTCAGCGAAAACCATGAGCCTAGGACCATAAACTCCGGTGTAAGCATGAACCATACAGCTGGAAGAGGAAGACCCGATCCTGAAGATATTGTTGTAGTCTCAGCAAAGAGAACACCTATAGGAAAAGCTAATAGAGGTTCTTTTAAGGTAAGTTACAGCTTATTTTTTTTTTTTTTTTTTTTTTGTACAGGTGAATAACTAACTATTTTTTAGTTAGGCTATGTAAATATTTTCACACTCTTCAATGATGATTGATCTTTTAATTTACATTCAATAATAGGATACATATCCAGATGATTTATTAGCTCCTGTTTTTCAAGCTGTACTTGCTGATGCAAAACTAGATCCTAAATTAGTTGGCGATATCGTCATTGGCAACGTATTGATGCCTGGTGCTGGTGCTCATCTCACTCGCGTGGCACAATTCAGAAGGTAAAAATTATAAATATCAGGAAATAGAGAGTCCTGATCATTGATGACAATGATAATGATAAAGTGAAGATAGATTATGATGATACATTGGATTAATGATAATTATAATGAGGTTGGTAGGTACTGATCCATGAAGAGAATCATATATGGTGTCATGATTGTTTTAAAATGATAATTATTGTAGTATTGAGGATAAAATATTGTTTGAAGGTTTGCATGGTGAAGTATATTAAATGTTTGTGGTATACCATGTACGTATTTCTGAAAAGAACGGCTGGTTTAATGTTTTGGTTGAGTTACTTCAATCGTCATCATCAAAGTATGATCGTTGAGAATCAGTGCTGTTGAGACATCATATGGATTTGATCATAGAATGTCAATGAAAATGGTATTTTGGAAAAGTTACTAGTACATTTTTTTGTTGATTTTCTTGCATTGCAGTGGTATTCCTTACAATGTTCCATTGACTACTGTGAATCGGCAGTGTTCGTCAGGTCTGCAGGCAGTTATGAATGCTGCTGGTGGTATTAAGAGTGGCGTATATGATATTGCTATTGCTGGCGGGTGAGTCAATCCATGCATTCAAATGCATGATATGCGTGGTGAGGAGGAGAGGGACTGTTACAATGAAGTCTATTTTGTGAATAGTTACCTGGATAAACCAAGATCCCCACAAAAAAGTAGAACCATTCAAACCTGGGCACTGCATGACCTTGCTAATAACATGGCATGTATTAAACATTCTGCAAATTAAAAAAAAAAAACACCTAAAAAAACACATTTTTAAAAAAGTTTTTCTGTAAATTAATAGACATAGTGCTGAACATAACATTCAGGCATTTATAAGTCCTCACAGCCACCAGGTGGTGATTTTGTATCATTTTATAATTATGTATTGACAATAACTTTATTATACAATATTGTATCATTGTTCAATTAAGTTATATTAAATCATGCATAACCTATATTATTGTATTTGGTATTGTATTATAGTGTTGAATCCATGTCAAAATATAAACAGCCTTCAGATCCAAGTCAGTTGAATCCTAAGATATTTCAAAGCAGCGACGAACAAGACCTTCTAGTTCCAATGGGGTATGAATACATTTATTTCTATTTTGAGATAAATATCCTGAATGTGATTATTTGATATATTGATTCCAAAATTCTCTATTTTTTAAGCATTACTTCGGAAAATGTAGCAGAGGAGTTTGGAATTTCAAGAGAAGAACAGGACCTGATGGGATATGAATCTCAGATGAAGTAAGGACTAATGTTCCAATATTATAAAACAATGCAGTTCACTTTAAACATTACAGCATCTGTTGACACAAAATTTACCAATATAACTATATTATCTCAAAGTCAAATACAAATAAGTATACTCTAGTATGTTAAATTCATGAATGACTTAATGCAACACAAAGATTGCATAATGTGTCATTAATTCAGTGGCAGATCCCTGGAATGTGGAATGGGCACCCCCTTCCCCTAGTAGCAGCTAAAAAACCCCTAACAAAGTTTGAAATCATTTAGATAAGACATTAAAATGGCTAAAACTCTGAAGATTCATGGGACAGCCCCTTGACCCTACAATAGGTAAGGGAATACAGTAGAACTCCTCCTTTGTGTCACTCCCATTAAGGGGACACCCCTATTTAGGGGACATTTTTTGGTCACAAAACAAGGGAAAGTATATATTCTAATACTACAGCCAACCCCTATTCAGGGGCACCCCTATTGAGGTGACACATTTTTGGTCTGGAAGGTGTACCTTAAATAGAGGTTCTACTGTACCACTACTAACCCACCTTCCTGAGGCCATAGGTCCATCCCACTCAGACTAGATCTCAATTGCCACTCCACACTCCCGGCAAACTAATCCTGAATTTTTCATTGTACCCAGTTTTTTAGACAGTATATATTATATGCCAGTCTGTATTCTCTGCATCAGTATTTGACTACATAAAATATTATCTACACAGAGCTGCAAGAGCACAAAAGTTGGGACTTTTTGATGATGAAATTGTTCCAGTGAAGACAACGATTGTTGACAAGAATGGAGATGAACATGAAATTACGGTGTGTTTACTCTTTTCCTTTTGAAACTGTAAAAGATAATTTCAACATAACAATGCTTTTTATAGTAAGCAAGTTCCTAGGGTAGTCAGATAGTTAAAATCACCACCTGAACTACTGCAATGCGCTCAGAAGCTGCCTCCCTTCAAGTGCCATGTTGTGTTGTTTTTTTGTACTTTGATTGTTTTCTGAAACATAGTGTTGATTTAATTTTTTGTAGGTTACAAAAGATGATGGTGTAAGAGCGCAAACAACAAAAGAAGGCCTAGCCAAGCTAAGACCAGCCTTCAAGCAAGGAGGAACTACGACAGCAGGTATGGGGGCAGTGGCGGATCCAGGAATTTGAAATAGAGGAGGACCATGGAGGGACTTCGACAGATGGAGGGTCCATACCACCTCAGCCCCACCATGGTTGGGGCTAAATTTACGATTATGGCACCTCTAGATGGCCGGAAATGGCACTCTCAGACTTAAAATTTGAAAATTTTTCTTTTTTACTCAAAAAAAATTTTACTCTAAGTGTAACCCAGTGTGTCCAATTCTTTTAATTCATTGATGAAAATTGACAGTAGTCAAATCAAACCAACTGTACTACTCAATTGATAGATCGTGGTTTAAGTTGATAAATGCAAACAAAAGTCAACCATCAAGAATATGTGTTGGCTAAATATGAAATATTATTAAACTGAAATTAATAATGGAAACTCTCTTGTGAACAGGTAATTCAAGTCAAGTGAGTGATGGCGCTGCAGCTGTGGTAATTGCCAAAAGATCTGCAGCAGAAAAACATAGACTACCAATCCTAGGCCGACTTGTATCATTTGCTGTGGTAGGCGTTCCACCTCATATAATGGGCATTGGGCCTGCTTTTGCCATCCCCGAAGCCCTGCTAAAAGCTGGCCTGACTATTGATGACATAGATGTTTATGAAATCAATGAAGCATTTGCTAGTCAGGTATTTATCAGTTTAATTCATTTTTTTTTATAGTAGTTGTACATGGTTAGTTTTATGTTGGTAGCACCATATTAGTTTCGACCGAACTGTAAGGTAATAGGAGTGATGTTTTGCCCTTCCTGACGTTTTATCGTACCGAATACTCAGTAAGTTCTCAAATAGGTGGGTATTGAACCCATGACCTCCAGATGACTAGCCTGGCGCCATAAGCACTAGACTACTGAGCTTGCGATTAGTGACTAGTGTTGAATCCGAACCCCAAGTAGTAGCCGGTACTAACAATTATATTTTGATGTGAGTTTGCATCAGGAAAATATCATGGTGGTATGATGGTTTACCCTACCTGATGTGTTATTGTAGGGAATACTCAGTATGATGCCAAATATTTGCGAAAAAAAAATTGTGATTCGGGTGGGAATCAAATCCACGACCTCCAGATAACTAGCCTGGTGCCATAACCACTGGACTACATGTCAGATAGGGTAAGTCATTACTCCTATAATATTTTCCTATTGCAAACACACACTGTAAGTTAATGTTACATAGTTGGCACAGTGGTTATATTTGCGGACATTGAAGATGGAGGTTTAATTCCCCCCCCCTTCAAATTTATATAAAACAATTAATTTATAGAATTGTGTGAAAAGTAAGTAAAAGTAATTAATTTTAATTAATTTTTCTGCTTGATTAATCAAACTACTGCTATATTTCACAGGCAACTTATTGCATCAACAAATTGGGAATTCCAAAGGAGAAATTAAATCCACTAGGTGGCGCCATTGCATTGGGTCATCCATTGGGATGTACTGGTGCAAGACAAATATCAACACTTCTTTATGAACTCAAGAGGAGAGGCAAACGGTAGGCATTGTTGTCACACTCTACATAAAATTACATTTTTCAAATCTCATGTATCAGTTTTGTTACACTTGAGGCCAACATCATCAGGCATTCCAATTGCAGGTGGGCTACTAAAACACCCTCCTTCTCTTGTTTGTGATGTGTTACAAAATAATATTTACAATAATAATAGTGCAGTATCTCCTTGTTTTCAGAGCATATGGAGTTGTATCCATGTGTATTGGAACTGGAATGGGAGCAGCTGCAGTGTTTGAATATCCAGGACGATAAAGAAATATCCATAATACTTCAATAAGAAATAATCAACAGTGGTGGCAACAGACTGCGATTCAGGAATATATATTGCATCCCACAGAAGCCGTGTTTAATGAATTTGAATTGAGCAACCAGATAAAAGGAACAATTTTATGATGGCATCACTGATTATATATGGCTTGAATGATATTACATGAAACATTTAGTGATGAGGAAATTCTCAACATGAATTAATTAATTATCATCGTTAGACCGGTCAATCATGTTGATTTTATAAATTTATATTTTTTTTTTTTGAAGTGGGTGTTCCGTTTCTGTATGGACCATATGGTTCCTTTAATAAAAAATGACTTTATTTACAGATGGACTTTGAAATATAATTATATATTAAAAATGAATATGAAAATTGATTTTATAATTTGTGTTGTTAATTCTTTTGGCATCTTTATGAATTTTTATTTTATAGATAGTATTTTAATTAAGATATACTGGCTGTGATTAAATCAAGAAAACCATCAACAATATAATTAAAATATTGAATTTTACAGGATGAAATGAGCACACACATTTTAAATCATAATGAGCACACAAATTGAAAACAATCCAGAATATTCAGCCAGTCCCCCAACCAAAAAAAAAACAAAAAACAAAAGAAGAAAAGAAAGGAGGAAGAGAATACTTCAAAACAAGGGTGGTTCCTATAGGCCAAATATAACTCGGAAGTGTTTCTTTAATGAGCAAAGTTATACTGTAATAATAACACTACACTCTAGTAAATGGGTCAGAAAGGGTCACCCAAAACCACCCAAACCCTCATGGTTACGGGCCTGATTGCCTTCGTTGTAAGAGCAGCCTCGTAAAAAAGTTTGAATAAATAAATAAGCATTTCTAAAAATTCTCAATTTGATTCAGATTCAATTTTTACTCGTCGAATATGGAAGTCATTCAAATTTTATAAAAAACTTAGTTCCATATAGATAAAATATACATTAAAATGGCTAGTAAAATACAATAGCGAGATACAATTTTGCGTTTTCATAATATGGTAAATTTGTATTTATGCTCCCTGTCACATCTTTAGTTTGCAAATTATACCTGCCCGCCCACTTTTACGTGAGACGCTGAGGGCGCTATTCGCCTTATCCTAGGCCCTCCTTGGCCAAGCTAGCCAGCCGGTGGCCACCACGTACCGCAGCAGTATCCTTCCCTGGCAGGCCGGCTGGCTGTACAGTACAGTTTTCTGTGTTGAGCGATCTAAATGCATTAAACATGAATAAAATAAAGAATTTGATCTCAAGACAAGTAAGTGTAAATGAATTAATTCAATCGGACATAACCGACGTAAAATTAATTAAATTTGTGAAGTGTTTACTAATTTAATCGTCGTTCGTATGGCCTCAAATAGTTAGGCTAGGCCTGGCCTAGGTTAGGCTGAAAATCGAAACAACCCGAACTGGGCTAGCCTCCTTCTAGGGCCTAGGTCGTTACTGTTAGAGAGGAAGCCGGGCCCCTGGGCCCTACCTAAGTAACAAGTTAGCTGAGACCTAGCTACACTAGGGTCCAGGCCTGCCGTGGTATATTAGGAGAGACCTACCTGGTACTGTACCGCCAGCCAGGGATATATACCAGCGCTAATGTTTAGTAATAATTTTACATCTTAAAAAATTGTATTTTTTTTGTATTGCAGTGCAGCTGCTGTATTGGGCCCCTCCTACTCTCTATCGGAGGCTGAGAGCTGAACAACTACCTATTTACATTTTTAACTTACAGACTAGGCCTAGGCCTATTTAATACTGAAATCAATTAAGCTTTTCAAAGCTTTTTTGTTGATTTTTTTAAAACCCTCCTGGGGTACGGTCTCATCTACATATGATCCCTCCCATCAGGGACATTGTCTCCCACCCCCAGGGGACCTTGGATCCCTGGGGGTGGACAAATCCTAGCACTCCACTACCATTGCCCACCAGTATGATTTACAAACAGGTATATTGCTGCTGATGCTCACATCCAGAATTTGCCACAAATCGTACCTTTTTAATGGTCTGCGAGAAATAATTAGTTTTTAAATTTTGATTGTTTCTATTATTTTAACTCGCACTATTAAACGACCATCTAATAATGTTTTTGTGTGTTAAACTTGGCAGACTAACAGAAGTCGGGAAGAATATAGTCCAACAGATGAAAAGGAGTTGGGACTCGACCAATCAGAGCCTGTTTATAAGTACAAAGTATGTAATTCTCTCTAACCTAAGTATATATACTTATGGTAATATTTTTATAATTTTAAAAATAAATATGTAAATATTGTACATTAAATGTACAACCTATATAAAATATACATCATATACTGTAGTAAATACATATCAAATATTAATGATTACGTACAGTATTACATCTGATTGGAGAAAACTAAATTAAATATTTGAAAAAAGTGCATAAATAAATTCCTTGACCTATTAACATTAAACTATAATTAAGGAAGTTAAGAGAATTTATTACATTAATTATGAATAATATTAAGAAATGTTGGAGCTCTATAATTAAAACAGTTTTTCATGTTATATTGGATGGAAAATGGAGCTTTTGTAACAATTATTACATGTTTTTTTAAAGGTATAAGACAATTTAGAAAATACACAATCAGATTCATTATCTTGACATTCCAATTAACTTTTTGTTTTCAAATTTTTCCAGGAAGTTAGAGAGTTTCCATCTGACCCTCTAGCAGAGGCAGAGGTAAAATATTTTCTGTATTTATAATAATATTAAATGTATTATAAAAAAGCATAACTTCCACTGATGCCTACTCAAATATTTTCTGCATTTGGCCGACCACTGCCTGGTAACGTGCTATCAACAGACACAGTTACTCTGCCCACCAGCCCCTATTCAAAAGATACCACACAACTTTGAAATAGACCACTGTCATCAAATTCTGAATATTAAGTACTATTGCCCTTAGACATAAGATCATATTTGTTTCTGTTGATATTTTTTATGAAAGCCATTTTTGAGGACTTAGTTAGTTTTAACATCGTATTTAACATCACGATCATTGCCTGGCATTTGAGTGGGCCTGGCCGAGCAATAATCACATTGTTACAGTCTATAATGCAGCGTAGCGGTCAATGATAAAAATATTTATTTTTCATTTATTTATTCGACCATATAAACATGAAGAAAGCACAAATACAACAAGATACAACAAAACGATGGTCAGGGACAGCTATTACAAACAGCTGTACCTAAGACATGCAAAGAGGTAACATAAATATTGCACACAATAGAAAAGGTTACAAAAATATATTTAAAAAAAACCCCAAAACTATTATTTTTTGTATTGCAAATTAACAGCATTCCTTTTGAAATTACAAAAATAAATTAAGATTATTTAATGAATGGATTAGTTGAATTTTTACAGAGTTTATATACATGATTAATTGAAATTAAGATTAATAAAAAGAGTATAAAAAATAGAAAAAGGCCTTTACAATTAATGATAAATTTGCATTGCATTGTAACAACATTTCTTTAAAATTACAACAATAAATTAACATTTTGGAATAGGAAACTTGCAGTGAAGGTGAAATGTTTGAATTATAATACTGTAATAAATTTTAAATAGTAATGATAATGATGATGTTTTTCTTTTGCAGGTAATTAACAGCATTGAGCAGGTGTATTTTAGTGATGAAACATTCGACAGTAGCCAATATGAATTAGAGGTAAGAAAGCTGGACTATACTCAGCTGATTGATTAATAGATCTTTTTTTAGCTCTTCTGTCTTTATTATACTGCCTTCATGAGGCTGATTAATAGTTGATTGATTAATAGATCTTTAGCTCTACCGCCTCAATTATACTGCCCTCATGAGGAGTTCTAGGAGCTCGATTGATTAATAGTTAATCTATTATACTGCCCTCATCGTAGCTTTCGAGATTACGAGAACTTGTTTAATTTTACAAAGAGGCTGCTCAGTAAGCATTGCTTTTAGTGACCATCAACAGTGCTATTCTGAAAATTAGGTAATGGGAAAAATTACTATGGAATGCAATTTTAACATATGTAAACTTATTATATTTTTTTAGAAACTTGCAGAAGATGAAAAACCAAGTTTGATTGTGATCAATGAAGATAGAGATAGGCTACGGGCACAGCTACAAGCAGTGAGTCCAGACAGTTTCAGTTCAAGTTTAATAAATAATATTGGATTGATAATAATAGAAGGCCACAAGAATTAAAATTGTAGATTTGAAAATGCACAATATGTGATATCACATGGAAATGTTGTGATACTGGCAGTGGACACAAATCTGTAACTTTTATTCTCTTGGCCTATTGTATATTCTTACTGGTATTGTTAATTATTGTCAGAGATATTATTGTGATTGTTTTGTTCCTTTTTTTTGTTTGGATACCTTCTAAGAAATTATAGATGTAATTTTTTAGTCCCACCCGAGAACAACTTGTGATTTTTTTTTGCAATTGTTTTCACACGTATTGAGCATTCAGTACATTTCCACGTTAGGTAGGGCAAAATTTCACCTATACTTGATTCTCCTGATGCAAATCAAGTTATTGTCTATTCCATCATGACAATAACAATTACTATTCTAAGAAATTACTGGCTTTATGTAAATTAGAAGGGAGAAAGTGCTGCTACCATCTCCGTGACAAAAATTACAATGTGGCTTATAAATTGCTAATTGATTTATATAATATGAATATTGATTGTTAATATTTTAATAATTTTATTCTTATGTTGTATCTGGTTGTATCACATACTTTTGATATTTTAATTATGATTATTATTTTTATAAATTTTGGTAGATTTATTTTTTTAAATAATGCTATTCTTAATAGTTTGTTGTAATTTTCTAACATTAATTGACTGAATTTGTATATATTCATAGGTTTCAAAGAAAGTTTCTGATGTTGTGTTAGAAAACCATTCTGCTTATACCAAAGTAAGTAGATTATTGATAGGAACATATGACAAACATCTGTGATTTGCCAATATATGGGTGTGGTGTTACATAATTCCCTTATATGGATATGATATGACATCATGGTGACCATATACGGGCAAGTCACTGATATTTTTCACAGAAAAGTAGTATAGTGTAGACAGAACAGAAAATAAATATTAAATAAATAAATAACATAAAGAATATGTTAATGAGGTGATCTATATAGCTACAGGTATTAAATTATGACATTATTGAGTATCAGTTGTATAAGTGTTCTATCTTCTTCACAGGAATTACAACGTGTTACTGACTTACAGGCAAGCCTTCAAACAGCGAATGTCATTTGTACAAATGGAAGGCGGTAAGTGTTTTATACCAATTGGTCTACCTTTTTTAGGACCGGCTCAAATACCTTTCAAAAGAGGATATAGAAGAATAAATGCTTTTCATTTGAAATAAGATAGTATAAGATAATTTAATGTTTTTAATGAATATTAAAGATAAAATAATATTTTAATAAAGAAGATAAGATATGTTAATGAATAAGATAATATTTTAATGAATAAGATAAGATAATAATTTTCATGAATAAGATAAAATAACATAAGATTAGATAATATTTTTCAATGGCTCTCAATCCTTGACATGTTCTTTATGCTATAGGCAACTTGAAGTTTCCAAGCAAGGCTTCACCATCTCCAGCCTCAGCATAATGGCAAATTATCGCAAGAAACAGCAGCTTCTATCCCTTATGAAATCTCTTCACACCATAAAAACCCTTGTAAGTTAGCATATGCATCTCATCTTAAATAACAAATAAGAATATGCAGCTTGCCAGGCCAAAACCAGCATCAGTGACCAAAACAAGAAAATTGACTTTTTAATATTTTCTTATTCTCCACATTATAAGCTTTAAAATGATGGGTAATTTACTGGAATACACTTACTATTGCCAAAGTTATGAGTAAAAGTATTACAGCTTCTCTGTACTAAAGTATACAATACTGTCACATTCTTATGCTAATTAATCAGTTTAGCATTCAGTAACAGTATGCAAACCTTATGTACTTTTTTATATTGGGCCTGTCTCAGTTAAAAATGCATTAGTGCATTCCAAATAATACTCCCAAATCTTATTGCAGTTGGTTTTGTGATTTGAAGTCCTCATATACTTATTTGTACTGTAGCTAACATGTCTTCTTCATCGGCTGTTTCTTTCTTCAATTTTTCTTTATCATGTTCAAATTGTCCAGCACCCCTTACAATTCCATATACTGTACTGTACTTTATTACAGGAAAACTAAAGGAAAACAAACAAAAGCTCATGCTGAGAACAGTATTCCACATTTGAGAAATGTTCATGTTCTCAATTCTGTGGATTTGTTTGACCATTGAATATAGAAAAAAGAAAAGATGTTGAAATAACAATAAAAATATTTGCTATGATCATTACTTTGTGTTAAATAATAATGTGTTTTGATTTTGATTGCATTTTGAAGCAAAGAACTGATATCAGATTGAGGGAAATGCTAGAGGTATGTTGGCATTTTGAATCATTTGCTGTTACTTAGAATAACCATTACCAGAATGATTAGAAATGATAACAATAATGATAAAGTAATGATAACAATTTCCATGTTGGCCAGGATGACATGAAAACCTCAAAAATTCAATTAAAAAATAATGAATTGCCCAGTAACACATCATGAATGTTTAAATACAACATCAAAAAACCTAAAAAAATAAAAAATGAAATATAAAAACATTGTTTTTACTTCATTAAGGAGGAAGATTATCCAGGTGCAATACAGTTATGTTTAGAATGTCAGAAAGCTGCCAGTACGTTTAGACATTACACCTGTATAAGGTAACTACTAGTTAAAAATGATTTGCAGTTACACAGTTTACTGTTACAGTAAAGCATTTATAATTTGCATATTTAGGTGTCACAAAGATAAATATATCATATTTCCTTTTTTTTCAGTGAGCTGAGTTCTAAGCTGCAAGACACTCTTGAAATGATAGAGGTTAGTTTTTATTTTAAAAATCTCAAATTTATATGTCTATCATTAAAGCGGTACCATTTTGTCATTTAATTATGACCATCATTTTGTTTTAATCTGTAGCGTAAATTTTCGTTTTTTAGGAACAATTGGATCAAGCCTTAGCTAAGACATGCAACACATTTGACACCTCTCATTACCAGAAAGTGCAAAGAGCCTACAGACTCCTAGGAAAAACTCAGGTTAGTTTGGCAAGCCTTATTTTTAGAAGGTGCAAAGTACTTTCTAGAAACATACCAATGTCAGTGGTGGTGCCAAAACTTTGCTGACCGGGGGTCCAAACCAAGGGATTGGGGGGGGGGGCCCAATTAGAGAGTTAGTCAGGGTCACGGAATAAAGAAATCCCCAGTAGGGCTTATCGAGATAGTTTTTATGGCTTAGTATGGCCAAAATTGTGTCTTTAGGCCACAATATTAGGGATTTGCAATAAAAATAATGTTATTTGGATAGGCAAGTTATTTTTTTTTATCCAACAACCTCAATATGGCGTAGGTTGACAGGGGGTCCAGGTCTGTCCGTCGTATGGAAAAATCCCCCGCCCCTGCTGCCGCCACCACTAGCCAATATGTTTTGACTACTTAATTGGTAATCTTTTTTTGAAGCAAGTTCTTAGAGAATTGTTGTTATAATTTATTTCTTCTTTTCTGTTTTTTAGACCGCAATGGACCAGCTACACATGCATTTTACTAGTGCTATTCACAACACAGCTTTCACCATTGTACTAGGCTATGTGGAGCTTGTGTCTGGCTCATCTGATACAAGATTTCAAAAGATGCAATATAAAGACTTGTGTAGTGTAAGTATATATGTTGCTATTTCACAAGATAATCTTTAATTTTTTAGCTGCGAATCCCAGATTTTTTAAACAAGGGGCACCAATTCATAATAGATTAAAGCTGAGCTCTTTTGTGGAAATGCAGATATAGGAAGTATGGTGTGTGCAGGGCCCTTTGAAATATAAATATTACATTGATTCATTGAATTAAATTTCAATGTCAAATTTCTTTCAGTACATCACAGGTGATACATTCATTCCATGCATGGTTGACCTTTGCAAAGCTTTGTGGGATGTGATGAGGAGCTACTACAAGACAATGGAATGGCATGAAGATTTTGAATCTGAGGTTCAAACTCCCGAAACAGAAGCTGGTGAGTATATTTAAACCCCTTGAAAATAATTGAACCATCCACCCTAAGGCAGTGTATGTGAAAATTAGCAACCAGGTTTGCGGCCTCGTATGTTAAATTTACCAGGGGTCCCAAGTCTCCTGGAACTCGCGGAAAACTTCTGCAAGAATCTTCCGGAAATAACCAATCTCCCGCAAATAAATAATATTTGCATGTTTTTAATAGCGTATAAATTGTGTCATGGAAGTCAGTGCCGATGGGTATCGCAATGTGTAGTAATAAAATTAAATGTGTTAACAACAGTTATTAACCACTGCAGATCAGTGGAAGATTCAAACGAGGGGGCAGCCAGCCTAAATTTTTCCAAATTATAAAAAAATATTGGGAAAAAAAGAAAATTATATTCTAAAATTTAAGTCTGAGAGGGTCATTTCCGGCCATCTAGAGGTGCCATATTCATAAATTTTCTGAGGTGGTACCTACATCTGTACTCTACATCTGTAAAAATGCCTCCCTGCCCCCATCCCCTACCCCTGTATTTCGAATTCCTAGATCAGCCACTGTAGGTCACCTGGGAATTACTTCTTCTAACTTGGGACCCCAGCAATATGAATAATGCTTGTGATCATTGCCCCACGTGCCTTAATAATGAATAAAATTTGTTTAAATATTGAAATATAGAATGAATGATGATAAAATAATTGTCTTTTAATTGGACTTTCACCAAAGTGCAAGATGACAATAAGAGTAAAATCTATTGTATTACTTTTTTTGCTTACAATAAATACGAATGCAGTTGATGGTGACAACATCGTCTATGATTTTCATTTAGATACTGGGTCAATCAGTTCGAATGTGGAGGCAAGTTTCAACCGGAAGTACATACAGAAGAAATTAGCTCATGGTCTGTCTAGAATTTGGCAGGTACGGTCATTTTTCTCAAGAACCTCACTTGTTAATTGTATTTTTTGAGCCCACATACAGTACTTTCTTCTATGCCTGTTGCAAATATAAATATCCTGTACTCCTTCTCCTTGATTGACTAGTATGCAATGTGTAGCCTGCTGTATATCAAAACATGCTCACTGATCATGTGCTATACATACGTCAGTAAACATGTGCACACTCTGCAAGTCAGTATTAGGACATAATTTTTTAAATTTCTTCTGTATATTGCATCCTGTGTGTTACATTTGGATGTAGCTGTTCTTCATTTCTCTGATGTTGCCGGGTTGTGAACTACAATTAATTGATTGATTGATTAATCATACATGCCTAATGAATTTTTCCCTTTGAAATTTAGTAGTCAATCTCAGTTAATTTTGTAGATTAATTGACTGTTCTTGTTTAATTGTAGGAAATTTTTAATTATGCCAAATGATTTCCCTAATTTTCAGGATGTTCAACAGAAAGTCAAATTTTTCCTGCTAGGAACAGATCTCTCATTTTTCAAGTATGATGACTTTATCTTTGTTTTAGATATTATCAACAGGTAAGAATTGTATTTATTTCATGTTTTATTTTAATATATGAAATTTCTAATGTATTGTTGATCAATAATGGTCAACTATATCCAAAATTTTATATACTTTCAATTTCATAGCGGGCAAGTTTTTTTTTAAAATGTTGTCCTGATTACTGTGCTTTTCTCTTAACAGATTAATCTTGATTGGTGAGGAGTTCTGTGGAAGCAAATCTGAGGACATTCAAAAATCAATTCGTACGCAAACCATTAACTACTTCAAGAACTACCACAGGTTTGTAAACATTTCCATAATTGGACAAAGTATCATTGAAGCACTTGTGATCGGATTGCAAACAGACACAAATTACTTCTCTCTGGGGAGCATTGCTACCCACATATTCCTGGGTGAAGAATCAAACATAGGTGCTTTGCCTTGATGCAATTTTTGTATCTGTATTTGGTAAAATTATTAATTAGCATAATTGCTGAATTCAGATACATCAGCCTTTAATTTAATTCAGATTTTTAATTGATTTCTTAAAACATACTCCAAATAAAGTGAAACTTGTCATCGTGATTTAATATTTTGATCTTTGTTTGATCATCATCAGGAATGAATAATATGCCTATTGCAATTATTCCAAAAGTGTTTACAGAAAATTTACCAATACTCCAAATGAAGTGAGACCTGTCATTGTGATTTAATATTTTGATCTTTTATTAGATCATTAAATTAACCAATCAAAACAGTTCATATAAAATAGCCAATGGGGCTCTAAATGATTTAATATTTACATTTTCATATTGTAGGGCTAGAATGGATGAATTGTGTATATTTTTGGAGAATGAAGGCTGGGAACTTTGCCCTGTGAGAGTTAATTTCTCCATACATCACCTACAAGAGTTCAAGTTCATGCAGTTGTTAAATTCACAAAGAACTGAAGACAATATGCTGGAGATTGATAAGCTGCAAATGAACGTATTTAAACGCTTTGAGACGGGAAGTCCATTTGATCGACAGATTTTAGATGACACGGAAGATGTCATACAAACTGTTGAGGTAAGATTAGCGTGTTGTGAGAGGGATATTTAGAGATATATTTGTTGTAAAAAATCATAATTATTCCTTGTTTTGTTTTATGTAGGAGAGCCTGTTTCTCTGACTTAGGTTTACTTAGGGGATGTACTGGATACAAGACTAAAGTCCTCTATATCCAGATCCAAACCGGTTAATTCTGGAAATTTGTATTTTCGCCATGTCATCGAACTTAATTGGTTGATCTTTCCAGAATATGTCTAATCCACTTTCTCTTCCCCCTCATGAAATGTTGTTGAATATTAAAATTAATATTTTGTTGGATTAATAAATAAATATATTGATTGGCTATTACAATTGAATATTGATTATGGTTTAGATGAACAATGGTGATGGAGGTCACAGCTCAAATGATGATTCTGACAGTGATGTTCCAGATGAACTGAAGCAAGATTTCATTGACGAGCAAACAGGAGAGAATCCAACAAAAAGGTAACTGTCCTCAGATATTATGTGATGTCCAATAGGTTACAAAATACAGTTAAACATTCTTTACATATTAGTCTGTTTCTTGAATACTTGCATAGATTAATCAACATATGTAATATTACCTTTAATTTGTTGTCTTATAATTTGTTAATACAGAAAACTGTCACAGGTCAAGAAGAGACCGGAACATGTTTTAGGTAGAGAGATAAGCCCAATTCTTGCCAATACTACACTCAATGTACTGAGACTAGTAGGTGAGTAAAACACATCAAAATTACTTAAGAATTAGATCAGTTATAAACCAGAAGGGGTGGGGGCGGGGGGTAATTGTACAAAGCAGCATACAGTAGTTCTGTTGTTCCAAATTGGTAGTAGTCACTGTGTGTGTTGAACAGTTGTGTCATTTCACACCATTGGCCAATTTTATTGGCTCTCCTTGTTTCAGCTAGAGGCCTAGAATTCATGTATTAATAGGTTACCTTCTTTCAGAGTACTGTGTATTGTGTGCAATATTATAGCCCATGTGTATAATAAAGAAATTGTACAATCCCCAGAAATGAGTGAGGGATTGTTTTCCGGTGTACTGCTTAATCTGTGTTTAAATAGATAATAAAAAGTCAATAATTAGACATTAGGTTAATATTTGATTCTTGATTATTATTTTTCAGGGAAGTATATGCAGATGATGTCCGTATTGACACCTATTGCATATGATGTGGTGCTGTGCATGTCACAACTCTTTGATTATTACCTTTATGCTGTCTTCACCTTCTTTACATCAGATGTGGTAGGTTTTCCTTAGATTTATAATAATGCTAACGGCATCATCAGCAATCAAGTGTCTGCTTTGACTTTACAGCATATTGTCTCTGCAAATATCGTTCCAAGTATTTTGATTGTTTTCTGGAGTTAGCATTCCTTAGAGGTTTTCTGAATCCTACTGTTGATTGTTGGGGTGCATTTGTACCAGTGGGCCATGTGATAACAATAAATAACAATAGTAGTTTATTTGAAAAAACTACGCCTTTCCATCGGCGGCACACGTCACACGTAGCATAATGACGGTGCGTTCATAAAGACAATATTTAAAACAAATAATATAAACAGTAACAAAGCAAAGTACAAAATGTGAAATTAAAAGAATTCTTAAAACTTGATAAAGCACCATGAATAGTAACATGTATAAAAAAGTACTCATAAAGTCAAGTCTTAATTTTTACAATTTTTAACATTTATAACAACATTTCTCTTTAATTTTTTTAATTTTAAAGTACGATATAAGATACAATTCGTTCATGCAAATAAATTAGTTCTGATTGATTAGGTTTTACAATTTATAATATCATTTCTCTGTTTCCAAGCCATTTTTAAGTATGAGATACAAAGATCGTTCATAAATTTGTCAGATAATTGCCACAATAATGATGATGACAATATTGCAGTAGCAATGGCAGTGATAACGTCAGTGCTAATGACAATAATACTAGCTATCATTATCTTTATAATTGAAATTTTATTTAAGTGATTTTTTATTTGTGTTGTCTTGGTTGTTTACAGCCTGATGTTGAGAAGGTCCTGAACAGTAAACTACTCAATACACTTAAGAGAATATCAAATGAGATAATTGACCAGTCACCGCAAGGAGCCCCACGCAATCCAGACTCTCCCAACAATAAGGTCAGTGTTTATTTTTATTACACTTTACCCATATATCCTTTTATCCTTACATCTACCCATTTATCCATTTGTTCATCCAGACATCCAAACATCATTCTTATAAATATACCCATCCATTTATACATGTCTATTCATTCATCCATCTATTCATTCATTCATTCATTCAACGATTCATTCATTAATAAATTAATTCATCCAGATATTCATTTATCAATTCATACACTGGTTTGTTTCTACCCATTTGTACATCATTCATTCGTCTTTACATACATCCACCCATCCGTCTATCCATTCATATATTCATTCATTCAACTTCATACTCATTCTTTTCATGCATGAAATGTCCCCAGTGCTCTTTTTAATTTACAACCAGAAGGACCCTACTTGAGATATGTTGTCAGACATCCATTGGTGTGCTGTGGTATGTTTCACACTGAAGAAATCCAATTCAATTTAATCCCAATATCTCATTTATTCATCCGTACATTCATCTATGTTTATAACTGATTCATTCATCCATACAGATGATAAATAGATTACCTTATCATATTGTGAAAGACATCAACATAACACTTTGGTGGTGTTCCTCTCAAACAATCACATTTATATTTATTTTATTTAGGTTAAAGTTGCCTTCCCATATCTATCACCAATTGTTGACCTGGAAAACATCAACAGCCTGTATGGACTCTCAGAAAGAATTGTGGCTACAGAATCATTGTAAGTGTACAATATTTTATTTTATACTCTGTGGTCATTGCTGTCTGTACTTATCCACCAAGTTACTTGCATTATAGTAATATAGAGTAGGCCACTGTTAAATTGTTCCATGTTTTTGTTTTCATTGATTTCAGAGCATTTTTAGCAGAACAATTTGAATCTTTACAATCACATCTTGAATCTGTTATCCCTGCATCTAAGAAACCATTCCTCCAGCAGTTTTATTCACAGGTAAGCCTTTTCGGAATCAAGCAGTAATGGCTCTTTGAGTCACAATTTTCTAATACTGACGTCAAAACTGTTCATTATTATTTAATTGGATATTATTATTGATGGTAAATGTAAGTACTAATGACAAAACTAATAGTCACTATCAACATGTAAGCAATGGTGATGAAAATAGTATTGATTAGATGTGATACTAAGATAGTATTCCTAAATATGTTGTTCGATAATACAATTGAATAATACCACATTAGAATATAACAATCTTAGTGTGGCATTATTGAATGGTGTGCACTGCAGTTTGCCTGTCGTGGTGCTTACCTTCCAGTCTTCGGTTAAAATATTGCAAAATAATCTTTTTCAGACAGTTGGCGTATCAAGTGAATTGCGGAAAGCTGTATACCTGGGTGTGTCATCCTGTTGCTTAGAAACAGAGAAGATTCTTAATTTGATGAGCACTGTAAATTGGAATGTGAAAGATATCATGTCACAGCATAGTCCTTATGTGGATGCCCTTTTACAGGTGAAATTATACTGATGATTATAATAATAATAATAATAATAATATGTCGTTTTTATATAGCACTTCATGCACAAAGCCTCTAAGCACTTCACATTGCTACCCCGGTCATTGGATCAAACACATATGGAACAGATACTCAACAGCAAATTAAATTATTAAATGGAACAGATACTCAACAGCAAATTAAATTATTAAATTAAATTATATTATTATTCCATAATATTGCAGCTAGTAATCAGCGCAGTTGTGTTGGAAGTTACCAGGTACCCACCTGTAGATAAGGGCCTTGCCCAAGGACACAAGCGACTTGCACAGCGAGAGTTTTGAACCCGCGACCTCGAGGTTGGAAGTCCAAGCCACAACCGATGTGCCAACCACTTCTATAATCATTGTAATGATGATTATAATGAGGATGGTTTTTTTTTTATGTCTTTATTCTTTATACTGGGGAACCGGTTCAGTAGGAAATCTACTGTTGTCCCACAGGGCCCAGTACAAAAAAGACAACTATCACATTTAAATTCAAAAACAAAAGTACCATACAAAAACCAGATAAAATACAGTAAAATCTGGTGATGATTATGATAATTATTGTGATAACTATGATTATGGAGATTGTGATTCTGATGATTATGCTTCCGTGATAATTATGATTATGTTGATAGTACTGATGATGAATGGGATGATTTTAGGTTGATAGTGATGAATGGGATGATTTTAGGTTGATGGTAATGAAAGTCTTCTATGTTCCCTGGAGAAAATTCCATAAATTTTCAGCCAGCCAATACATTGACTTCCAAACAGAATTCACTTACATACTATTGGGTGGAGAGACAACCATAGATAAAGTGCCTTGTAGTAAAATGATTGATTGATTGATTGATTGATTGGCATGCTTAATAAAAAAAATCAATTTCTTCTTAGGACCTTCAAGTATTCCGTGATAGGCTACGAAATGTTGGAAAGTAAGTTACAAAAATGCTTATTCTCTTCTAACTCTGCTTTTGAAGACAATGTCATATCTTATATAATGACAGATGAATTTATGCTTTTGATATATAACATAATATAATATGTAAGGGCTCTGTACAACCTTTCAAAATCTTGGCTCATACACCATCCACCAGTTGTGAAATGAATGCATTGGATCAACCTTCCCTCCCTCATGTTTTCCTGTCCTTCTGGTAAATAATTATTCTTTATATTCATTTCATTTATTCCAACCATCTATTACAAGTGATTGGTCATTTATCTGTAAACCTGAAAATAAAATTTCAAAATTATTGAGCTTCCTTATTGCTATCTTTTAATTTTATAGGCAAGTTCGGATACCGCAGGTTGTTTATGTAGTCTTGTGGAATCACCTGATACTGATAGTGAATAGGACAGTTGTTGAAGGGTAAGTTGTCTATATCTAACTTATGTTAATATAAAATATGTAGAAGGATTAATGAAATAAACAATGACAATTTATAAGGTACAAGATTCATTATTTATTTTTGAATGATAGTTTTTATATTTATGTAATACAAGAATATATTTGTAGTTGCAGTAATTGTTGGTTAGGGTAGTGGTACTAATATTTATTATTGTTATTATTAAAATCATTGTAGTTTTTTAAATATCTTAACTAAACATTGGCCTTCCATTGATGCTAGACTTGCGGGTGCTAAGAAGTGCAGTAATGAGGGACGAGCACTTATGCAGCTAGATTACCAACAATTCCTCATGAAGTTGGAGCAGTTAACTGACATAAAACCAATTCCAGCAAAAGAGTTTGTTGAGACATACATCAAAGCATTTTACCTCTCGGAAGCTGATATGGAATGCTGGGTAAAGGAACACAGGGTGAGCATCTTAACACTTAATTCCAGACTATCAAATATTATAAATATTTATTTAATTGAAATACTAACATGTAATTCACAAATTAGGTTGCGTTTGTTTTGATTTTTTTTAAAGCAGCCATTTCTTTTTTTTATGAGTTTATGATATTGCTTTTGATCTTTTATATTTGTTTATTAGTAAGTAAATTTGGTAATTTTTGATATATTTTGCAAAAGGTATAACTACTGTATGTTCCCAGGCACATGTTATCATATTAACGTTTTAACATAACTTTTATCATTTTGCATTTCATTTACACCATCATTGATCAGATTCCACCCTTATTAGTGGCCAACTCCCTCATTTTTTTTTTTTAGTAGTGCTTCATTTCTCTAAGCCCTTCACATTAGTATTACGCCAGGTCATTGGATGCAGTGGAGTTGAATAGCTCAGTGGTTAAGATGCCATGCTAATCTCAGAGTCCTGTGTTCAATTCCTGTCACAGCAGGCTTTTTTCTCATGACTAAAACAACTCCACTCCCTAAGCCTCAGTAAGAGACTTGTCCTGTAAGTAAGTGGGGAGAGTACTTGCTGTTTGATGTGACCGAATGAAAATGCATGGCTAACATACTCGGTTGCCCTCATATATCTTTCCCAGAATGTCAACATATAAATTAAAAGAATGTTTTCTTTATCAAGGAATATTCTGGGAAGCAGCTGACAAGCCTAATCAACTGTGCAGTGAGCTCCAAGCGAGGGCGCCAGCGCTTGTTAATGATCATTGAAGAATTGGAGAGACAACGACCTAGATAAACTAGCGCCAGTCACATGTAGCTATGGCAACAACAATGATGCATTGTTAATAATATTCATTTATGTTTAACAATTTTTCCATTTATTATTATATATTGATTAATCTTTCTCTAAAATCATGACACCAATTTTGAATAGGGAGCCTTGGATATTTTATACACAATTATGAAAATAGTTGAAACATTTGAATAATGATTTTAATAAGTTTATAATTTTGTACTTATTGGTTTTTATAACTTGCTGCTTAAATATTTTATTGGAAATATAATAATAATTTGATAACTTGACTTTAATTATTGAAATTCATATGTTCCCTCAGAAAAAGAAAACCCCTAAGATGAAATTGAAATTGGTAACAATGTTAAATCACATCTCTCTGGGACTGACGTAACTTTCCCCATCCTTTATTACAACCATTTTTAACAGAGATAGTGTATCCAGAATTGCTGGAATATGCAATATGGTAGGTGTGGGTGACTCATAAATCATCCCATGGGAGAGTAAACTTTAATATTGACAATTGATTAAATTATGCCATATTTATCTGGAAGCCATAATCCAATATCTATAATTTAGTTCTAAACTGAATACCAGTATCTATCAGGTGAGATGCTGATGATGCAGCAATGCAATAAAAAAAATTATAATAATTAATTATTATAAATATCGTACATGTGCTAGTGAATAGTATATATAGGGTATATGAAGAGAGTTAATTCTATTCAATGTTTGCATGCTATTCATTATTTGGTTTGAAATAATTAATTAGTAAGAAGAAAATGGGAAATTCATATCTTGAGGTATTTTAATAAGAAACTGTCATATGTTTATCTTATAATTTGATATTCTAAACGATTTGAATATAAAAGCTTGATATACTTGGCAGTAAGAGTGTACACAAAAAGGTTAGCTAAGAAATACCTATTCTAATAGCTAAAACTAAACATGCCAAAGAAATTTGAAATCAATCAACTAACTTAAACAAATTCTTAAAAGCTCCAATGAAGGCAGTATAATAGAGGCAATACAGCTAAAAAAGATTTATTAATCAACTGTTAATCAATCAACTATTACTCAGTCAGCATCATGAGGGCAGTACAATAGAGGTAGTAGAGATATATATTAATCAATCAGCGGAGTGTTTCTAGATCTCCTCATCAGAGCTAAAAATGTTGGCTCCCAGGAACTTAAATCATAAGAATGACACTGCTATCTTTCTGCCTTGTTCTACACAAGTAAGTCTAATGTAAATAAATAAAATATAAATATTGTAATGGAAACCTTTTTGAACAGATCATTAATGGGACCCTTCAGATGACCTTCTAGGCCAAGTTTGAGGGGCTACCCTCTTAAGACACTGTCTAAGTAAATATTCCACAGCTATGTTCATGTGCAATACTAGTTAAGAAGAAGAATAATCCATGATATTTAATCATTCATGTCTGTGTAAAGTACGTATTGTCAGATTGTGTCAGAAGAGAACTTCTTGGCTTGAACTGTCTTCAAAAATGATAAAGGAAAAAATTGTTATGTGTAGAAACTGACATTCCAAGAATAAATGTTTAGATAGTGATCTTCCTATCGTTGTCTTAAGCCGGGCAAACATTGCGTTGTACGACGAAACTCTGCTCACTGTGGGCGCTAGATGACGCGACGCCATCTGCTGATTGTCGATGGCAGTCTGAATGGATCGTCATTAAAAATGATCTGTTGCGTGCAAGTCGCAGCGTTGCATTCTTCATGGAATCGCGTCGGCCGACAACTGTTGAGCATAGTAAGTGCCCAGCATTACAGAATAGACTGCGATAGCCGTCTACGTTATGTCAGTGTTATACCATGTACAGTACAAGATATGTTTTACTGTGTAAAAATCGTAAACAGATATATTGTGTATGAATAATGTAACACACAAGATTGATAACATATGCACAATAATGCAATCAGGATATCCTGTGCTAGTTGCTTTAATGCTTAATTGATTTAATTTTAATTACATTTTCTGAGAGGGTTGGCATTTGTTTATTGTTTCTATTTTGGCAGTTTTACTTGGTTTTCAGTATTAACAAAAAAATTATTAGTCCATAAAATATCTTATTGTACTTTTCATTTTATAATTTGTTATATCCATTTCATTTTTTTTTTAACTTCAAACATCTGATCTTTAAATTCCATATAGAACCACTTGCATGTTATCTGTTTCTTGTCAAAATGCTATAGTGATATGTTTATAGTCTGTAACCTGCATTGCAAATCCAATGTAATTATTATTCATGTAAATAAGTACAGTATGTCTTATCCAAAATGTAGATCAAATGAGTCTATACATACACCTACATTGATGTATATATATTATACATACAGTATATGAATAAAACCATTTAGTGATGTAAGTAAATGATTTGTATGGCCTTTTGGTTCTGACCTGGGTGTACAGTTGCAAAAAGGAATTTGACCACAGCTCTACAAAATAATCAGTGGGGGATCCAGGAATTCAATATAGAGGGGCCCAGGGAGGTACTTTTACAGATGGAGGATTGATACCACCTCAGCCCCACCATGGTTGGGCTGAGGTTAGAAAATTTGTGATTATGGCATGTCTAGATGACCGAATTGCACTCTCAAACTTTGATTATAATTTTCTTTATATCGCCATTAAAAAAAATTTGAACAATTTGTTGGTGGTGGGGGGGGGAGTGCCCTGTCGGAAAAGCCACTTCAGGGAATGTCCAGAAAAATATGGGTGGTGTGCGGGGTATGCAGCCCTTTCAAAACCATTTTCTTTTCTCTCTTACTCCTTTCCTCTTCTCTTTTTTGGAAGGGGAGGGACCTTCCCTCCTGGATCCACCCCAGGTCTGGTTCAACAAGCTTTCTTATTACCACATCTGATATTTTGCTGCACATGATGATGTACATGGCCAGCTAAATTTAGAGACAATTTTTATACAGTAGTAAAATATTCTGAATTTGTGGGAGGTATTATAGTTGCCCTGCCTGACGTGTTATCACATAATAGCTTCTTTTTGCTGAGTAATGCGAGTGTTGGAGACTGCTGATTTCTGAAAGACTTCTGGGCCTACACGGTTCAGTGCTTGCTACAGTACAATACCTAACATAACCATTGTTGTACAATTTTCATATTCTCCATTTGACATCATTCGGACACCTCAGATTTGCGTAAAATCAGAAAACTACACACAGCAAAATTATTCTTTTTATGCTCATTCACAAGATGAATGAGCATAAAAAGAATAATTTTGCTGTGTGTAGTTTTCTGATTTTACGCAAATCTGAGGTGTCCGAATGATGTCAATACACATTTATGTTCATTGGAATTAGGGGTGTCTAAAACGAAGACCCCTATTTTTTCTCTTTTATTTTGATGATACTACTCCAGGCTGTCACAAAATCAAAATTACGAACTTTTTGGGCGTCTGTGTTTGTGAAATTTTCAAGGGTCTTCCTTTTATAGACACCCTATATGGGTGTCAGACACCCTATATGCGTGTCTACAAAACGAAGACCCTGTGTGTATCGCCTAGGCCTAGGAAATGCATTACCAGTATCTGGTGGTTTGATAAAACACTTCCTCAAAAGCTTAACAAATCATTCTGTCACTGCAAATGACTTTGCAAGTGTGGGAGAAGCATACTTTCCTCCACTCCACGGGAGAAACAATCATACCCTACTAGCAGCAGATGAGACGGTTACAAATGAAGTGGCCAGGCTGACGCGGACCAATTTTATCCAAGCAGGACCGGTTTTAGGGGCTAAAATCAATCCGGAGGACCGATTTTAGTAGTCCGGCAGACAGATTTTGGCCAAAATCTGTCCGCCGGACATTTTTTGGCGCGGACCAATTTTGGCGTGACAGGCCTATTTTTATATGTTTTATGCCCGATGAGCTTTGTCCGTCGGGGGAACTTAAGTCCCTGGAGTTCAATCGGAGGATCGCTGGCTTTCTGGAAGTATTATGCCTACTAGGCCTATTATAAGACTAAAAATAGCATAGCGACCTAAATTAGACTCTACCAAATCAAAACTGCTGATTTTTCCAGGGGATTTTATCCCTGCTGCACCCTGACCTTGGGAATTATTTCGGTTTGATTCCAGATTGAACTCACTTCACTTTAGTCTACATTAGTTTCTCCATCACTCAAACCTGCCAACACCAACATCAACATCATTACCGTTCATCATCATCGTCGACGTCGCCATCGACATCATCATTATTGTCATCGTAGTCATTATCACCTTCATCATAACCATCATTGTTATCATCATCCCCTCATCATAATTATGATCATCATTAATTCACATTTTTTCCTGGGCATCAAGGTAAACAAGGTTTAAAGCTGTATTGTCTCTTGAAAATGACAAAAAATCATAAAAATAATTTTGAAATTAACTTGTTAATTTTTGCAGTAGCATACATATTTTTAACTTGAGCAAAGAAATTATTGAATTTCAAAAATGTGTACCCTGATTTTTAAACTGGATAATTATAATAAAAAACTTCCATTGACTGGAAGTGTTTCTATCATTTTTCTTTGTAAAATGACGGGTAAACTTTTTAAAAATACACTAATGTTTATGTTCAAGTTGATAATTTTCATGTTACTTAAAAATGGGCAAGTTAATTTCAAAAATGATTCAGCGGCATTGTGCCCCACTCCACTCATTAACTGGATCACCCTAATGTTAGTACTCTGTTATTTCTCTGTTATTTATTTATTACCTGGGTAGATCTCTCCATGGAAGTATACGTGCATGGTCTGTCTGCATGAATATACCAAAGGTTGACTAAAATTAATGTGTAATCGGTATAAGGCCTACCAGAAGCAAAAACACCACTTAACTTATTATTTTTTTTTACAATTCTAGTGATAGTATATAACTTCTAGAGCATGATCAATAACTTGTTAATGTTCCAGGCAGAACTTAGCAAGAAAATTTAATTAAAACTGTATGAGTAGTATGTTCATAACATGTAGGCTGCAGGTCCATTTGTGTGGCAAATAGTATCCTGTGTTTTATTTATTGCATATTGTGTATATTTCATAGCTGAATACCCTCCACATCGTGTAAATACAATTACAGTACGTTATAGTCATTTTTGGTTTGGCATTATAAATGTATTCATGTTTCTTGCTCTTCTGGAGGAATAAGCAACTCAGATTATCTACTTTTGGCAATGATAAGAAATTAAATTTTTAACAATATTATTATCAACTCAGCTTTACCAGCTGCTATTTCATGGCCGCTCCAGAGGTGCCATATTTCCAACATAGACTCTCATCCATGCTAACTTTATATATTGTGGCTGCCCCTGGAGGGGAAGTGAATGCGGCTCTAGGTTGCCAGCATCTATTTCCGGACATTCATAGGCGCCAAACTAGAGTTGATATGATAATTATGCTCTCAGACCTCAACTAACTTCAAAATCCTGTAGCTGTGGATAGAGATAGCGGGTCTCCACTCTTCACTATCAAATTTGTCAAGTGCTCATACTACACCCCACCGCCCCCTCACTATAATTGCCGGACCACTTGCAAAAAAAAATGGTTCTGACGGCTATGCAAAATAAACAAATCTTGGACACAAAAGAATTTCTTTCATTGAGATATATTCTGAGTTTTAAACTCTTGCAAGATAACCTTCCACAAAAAACATCTTACAAGACCTACGTCCATGTTGACCTGTTAAATTTGAGCAATAATAATTTAGCAATTAAATTGCTAACTGTATATAATTTAAGTAGCTTTCAATGCAAAATTAAAACAAGAAATTAATAGATGCATAAATAACACCATGCCCATATTTTTGCATAGACCTTAAATTGGCAGGTAATGAGACGAACAATTTTTGTGAGCGAGATACTTAACTGAATGAACCGACATATGCCAATTTCCTTTCAGGAACTTACTTCTTAAAAAATACAGTAATGGAATTGTCAGACCCAGGACCCAGGAGTATATCAGGGGCGGATCCAGAGACTAATGCAACCATGTAACAGAATTTGGGCCAATCGAGACAACAATGACCTAGGGGGTCCGGGGGCGAGCCCCCGCGAATTTTTTGTGTTCTAGACACCCGAAAATAACATTTGAGGCGTTGTGGGCTATCATTTTTTTCTTTTTCTTTCTTTTTTTTACCTCCCAAAAGGGGCCCCCCCCCTAAATCTGCCCGTGTATATAATCACATACTATATATAATATTGCAACCATGTAACAGATCTCAATTTTTCGGTTCCTGCAGGTAAGTATTTATGAAATAGGCAATAATTGTTTCAATTTGTCCTTTTGACTATTCGTTTGTTTGTTGAGCAATTCAATGTTGTATGGTTTTTTCCAGAGATAGTATATCTTTAAAAAATATTTTGAAAAAAAGTAACCTTTCTATAAGGAACCCCACTCCTTCAACACACAAAATTACCATTATGTATATAAATATTACATTATATTGTATTATACAGTAACTGAGGAACAATACATAATTTACAATCTTATAAACAATGCAACAAGATCTTAAGAAATAGTCTATTAAAGCAGCACTACATTGCGGCTACAGGAAGCATATTAGTTAACGAATACTTATGTATAAAAATAATAAACTAAACAAAATATAGAGTTTAATTTCTCACGCTAAATTTCTCAAGTAAAATGCGACAGGTATTAATATTACGATAATTTCTGAAAGACTATCGCATTCATCCGATATATGTTCAATACTGAGTTTGGCATCATATCAGCAATACTGTAACTAAATACAATTGTATATAATCAGGTCCTTGGAAGTCTAGATTTGATATTGAAGATGAAGTCTTAAGTCGAGCTCACTGCTAATGGTCTTCGGCTATTACGTTTCCACAGAAAATGCCATCAACAATCAGCAGACAGCATCACATCGTCAAGCGCTGCGAAGAATGAAGATCAATTTGCCGTACTATACATTGTGTATTCGTTTTTACATATTTAACTTAACTTTAATTACATTCATGAAATAATAAGTAGAGAGTGCAGGTTTGATACTATAAAAACCATTTTACCTAGCAATAACAACATTAGCAATACAATCATAAACTTCAATGTTATTTTCTTGTTTTATTATACTTTTAGAAAATTTGTTTTGTTCTATATAAAAACCTGTTTCCTTTGTCAATTACATAGGTAATATGCCAAGTGGCGCATTCAGGGTGGGAGGGGGCCTGACATTTATGGCGAAATATAGAACTTGAAGAAAGACGTAGCGATTCTTCCAGCTCAGAAGGAAGCTAATTATCTGAAAATAAGAGCACTCAAACAATGTTAATGATAGTGTAGTGTATTTTGCAGTTATGGTTGATGTCTATAGCACCTTATGTAGGTTGTGTTTGAAGTTAAGGTTTAAGTGTTTGAGTCTGTATGTGGGATGCAAGTACAGGGATTTAGTGTTGTCTGTTTGTAAACCTAAAGACAATAAACAATTGATAAAAAGTTAATGTTGATGTTAACTTCTTTGGAATGTATGTCCATATATATTTTGTTGATAAATGCAATGAAATAAAACATGAATTACTTGATGTTAATAAGTATACTAATTTTAGACTGTGAACATAGACAATACACTTCCCAATTTGTGAATACTTATTTTAAATATTCAAACATAGAAGTTAAATAATTCAAATTAAGCATCTATATTAATAACAAAATCAAGGAATGAATTTCAGTGTTTTGAAAGGCAATATATATAAAATAATGGTCCACAAATAGAAATATACACAACTTATATGTTAACAGATTAGCTGTGTTCAATTATTAATATAATAGTAGTAAAAATAATAATAAAATAATAATAATAATAATAATAATAATAATAATAATAATAATAAAAATAATAATAACAATAACAATCACAACTACAATAATATGTACCCTTTTAAGAATTGAATTTTAACATTCATGCTGTTAATAACAATGATGATGATAATATCAATAATAATATTGATGATAACAATACCCTAGTTCATAAATATAAAACGATCAAATAAATTAAAATATAAAATTGAATAAAAATCTACAAATATTAAAAAATGACAATATATATAAATATATCAAGGTGGGAGCTCTACTTTACAAATATTCTTTAGCAAATAAGGAAACTACACAAATTTGCCTATTTGCATAATGAACATAATTTGAAATACAAACTCAGCCAAATATATAATAAACATTAACGCACACATCCATGCACACATCAACAATGAACACCAGTTGATACAAGAATCCATCCAATGGTTCCAAGTTGGTAGCTATTGCACACACATAATGCATAATTGATTGGCTGCATTATTAGGACCAGGTGTAGTAAAATGTGAATGTATGCAAGAACACATGCTTCCCATAATGCATTGCAGTTGAGCCAAATAGGCTGATTGGATGGATTTTGGATACAGGTGTGTACATGATGTACATATTTGAATCATTTTATTTCCGACAAGTTTAACGAGGGATAGAAATATTCCTATCAATATAATAAATATATGAGCAATTAAATTTGTATACAATTTAGGATCTTTAAAAAAAATGATCTGAATTATATTTTACAGTAATGAATAAAATTAATAGTTTTTTTAAAACATACCAATAAATGTACAATACTTTTCCTGCTATAATCTAATCAATGAAGCAGAGAAATATAAGAGATTTTTGGCATTTGTCTTCATAATTGGCAATCTATGATTTAAATACTATACATATAAAACAGCATTTGGACATCTATACTCATTCTAACCGATATTTGGTTCTACGCTGCTGTACAAAATCCAATATGGAAATCAAAATTTTGTTAGATAACTATCAGTCCTATCCGACAAACTCTCAGCTTTATATAGAAATATATAGACCTCAGAAGCATTAAAACACCTTTGATTACAAATTCTCAATGAAAATGAGTTTGTTTGCAGCTTTCTGATTATCTTTGGAACGAAACTTTGATTTTACGTCAAAGTGCAATAGATATGCGTGTTGCTGCAACATTACATCACGCATTGGAAGTAGATCAGCACGATAGCTCCACAGATCATCTCAGTCTGTAACACCTTTCTTGTTGCACATCAAAGTATGTTAACATACACATATCTACAACTAAACCTGAGATGCTTTTGTTGCATCTTCCCGGTGTGTGACACGTAACATGTTGCATCACCAAGGTATTATGTCTTATGAATGACAGTACAGTTTCCTTGGATGACAAGCAACGTCATCAAATTATGTGACAACATCAACTGGATGTGTTATAATTTACATTTTGCATCATCTCTACGAGTTACACGTAACATATTGCATCATGAAAGTATGCGACACCAGTAACAATTCATTTGCAGGACACATAACTTTTCTTCACACAAGTATACAACACATACAACTATCTTTGCGGTAGCTCGCAACAATTTTACACGTCATACCACCAAACATGATGTAAAATCATCTGCCTTTTTGTCGTCAAAGTTCTTTTGTAAAGCTAAATTATCATTTCACTGCATTTCATAATTTGGTACAAACTGTCCCTGTGAATTAATGATCTTATGCTGGTTCATGACGGTGCGTAGAATTCATTGTTTTGCAAGTAAGTTTTTTCAGTTTTTCCATTTTTACCGGACGGTTTCTGTTCTACTGATGCATACTTGTAATTCATAGTTTTGCGTTCGAAGAAACCACACTGAAAAAAATAGGAAAATATGATTAGAAAATCCAAAAGAAAAAGAAAGATAGATAGAAACTTGAATGTATAAAATATTATATATAAATTAATGATACAAAAAAATATTCTCCACTTGATTCTATCATGTTAATGCAAGATTATGTTCAGGTGATACATAGGTGTGGGACAGAATCTGACAGTTTAATCTGGGGAGAGGACATGAAGAGGATGAATAGGAAGCTGAACCTGCTGATTACATTCAGATTTTTTTTTGGAGGGGAGGGGGAAGCTCATGTGTCTATGCATCCTGTCTAAACTTACCAGTACATGCAACATGCATTGATGGTAAGCAATAAACATAGCATGTTCTATATTTGTATTTTTTGTCTAATAACATTTACTTATATCACCCCATTTAATTATATATACAACCTTATTTAGACCTTCAAAAGCAAAATACAGTACTGTACTGTGATGTACATCTAAGCATTCAGGATATATGCTCTACATGTCTTTGAAGCATATCTAAAACAAGTTTATCATTTTCCCAAAATAAGTAAATTTTTGTAATTTCAGTTATAGTGGTATTGGTGGATAATGGATGTAATGATGATTGTGTTGGTGGTAATGATATTGGTGGCAGTGGTGGCGCCAGCAGGGATGGGGCTTAAGCCCCTATGGGACAAGTCAGCCTCCCACTGGCCGAGCTCGTCGGGCAGTCGGACCAAAACAAAACTAACAAACAGGCCTACACCAAAGACAAAACATATCACAGTCGTATAGTGCCATTTCCAGCCATCCAGAATTCCCTATTTTAAAAAAAAAATTGGGAGGGGGACACCATCTCCCAAATCC